TCCGAGGTAAGAACCAAATTGTGGCGGTTCTAAGGATCGAGTTGAGGTGGTCCGTCCACCGTCGCTGACTCCATCCCCTCCCCAACATTCAGCATACACTCCCAGCCGAAGCGCCAAAAGGGCTGGTTTGATTACGTCTGATGCCTGTGCTTTCCTTTCTCCGACTACTCTATTTGAGCTATTAACTCGCCCACTACCGAAATCAGTGGGTGGACACTCTCAAAGTTCACAGACGGAAAGTTTATCTCCGAGTCTTCACTAGTGCTTTTGAATTCTTCACTGACTTAAAGGTAACGATGAGCTAAGTTGGAAATTCCCTCGATGCACAGCAGGGCGCCTGCTCGCACTATTTGGCATCTCTACTTTTCCTCATTTCAACTCTATGAGCTTACCGCGAGAGCTGTCTCCAAAGGCCAACAGATTTGCTTGCATGTTAATCAGAGTGCTCAGGCCGCGAATCCGCCCAGCAGTATCATTTTGAAAAGCGGCGGTCTCTTATAGCTTTTCTGTTGAATGGGTAAAATCAGAGCATTGTTTTTGGCAGGACGGCAACTACCTGTTTAACATGGCAAACAACCCCTTAGATGGTTGCTGGCTAGTCCATTGGGAGGTAAATTCACAAACTGTTTCACTTTGTGTGTTCTTTACGGATTTCCTGCTTTTTTTCGCCACTGGGGCATTATACAGCATCGCCCCTTCCATTACATGTAAACATAAACCAATCTTGTCGTAATCCCTCGCTTCAAGACCTCTATTCAGTCCGATAGCACTCAGCCGGTAAAGGTGGCGTCAACTACCGGAAATGGATTCAACCCCCAATCGAGTAAAACTGGAGTAATTGAGAATGGAGACATTCTTTTGAATTTGTTAGGTTTCCAAGAACAAGGACGGATTCTGAAACAGGCAGCCTCAAGGTGCAGACTGGAACCTCATTGCTCACCATTACTCTTCACTGATAATCTGGTACCGCACTTGGATAAGCACTGAAAGTAAACACACTTGTTTTTCCAAGTTTATTTTTGTAAGGAATCCCAATATTATGGCACGAATGTATCCCTGCTATAGTGTGAGCAAAATGACGTAGATGTATTTACAGGAAGTGGACACCAATGAGATAAAAATGGAGATCAAGAACTCAACTCTCACCGATTAATAAAGGTGCGCAAGTGAAATATGTACAAAAGTCACCTAAGCAGTGATAATGAAACTCGTCCAGTCCAAGCATTCACAATGCGAGTGCCCCTACCAAACTATTGCATTAGAAGTGTACGAGCAGCGCTACGGTCAATCTAGCTCACACAGGCAACAGTCACAAGACAAGAAACAGAACGGAATTCTCCGCATACCTCTCCTGTGGTGAATAGGAGGACATTCTCAAGCAGGCAATCTTCAACAGAGACAGGGTGAGTATGTCAGTCGTGGCGCCTCCTATCAGAATTATAACGTTAATTCTAATAGAAGCATTCATGCTAAAAGAGACAGATCTTTTGTCAGCTTTTCTATTTTCATTCAATAGGGTAGAAGCATGCCTCGTGTTGTGTGAACAAAGGCTACTTAACCGTTGTGAACAGAAGAAATTTCTCCCAGACCTTGCTGTAATCTCTTTTTCATATCTCAAACTTTGCGGTCCCGTTACTTTTTTCACACAGAAAATGTGGTCGTGACGAATACGGACGAGTCGGTGGTGTTCGCGCAACGAGATCTCGACACAGCCGCCCGCAACAGCGGGAGCACTACCGACTCGTCCACTTCTGTCGCGGCCACGCCTTCACGTGTGAAAAAGTCACGCAGCCAAATCTGTGTTTCTAAGTAGAAACTTGGTGCTGAAACTGATACTCTCCGATCAGTAGTATTAGCAACATGTGTAACAGAAAAGTTTGCATTCGTATGTGAGATAGCCACACAATAAAGGAAAATGAAAGCACATTCATAGAAAAAGGGTAGTGATAGTGTGCTTATCAGTTTAACGAAGGTAAACGCGTATAAATGCACATTTACGTCTCTCTCCGCTTCATGCTTGAAATGTGAATCTTCGAACCATTGAAATCAAACTGTTTTAGACATCTAACGTGGAAGCCCACGTTTTCTAATTGACATAACCATTCTAATCGTTTACAATACAATCACGTTCAACAGAGCAGTGTTCTTGCTATTCACTTGAATGCGATAAATGTTGACTCAGGATATCTGCATGTAGTGCAGATATCTAGCATGACCTCGCTTACGTCCATCCTCCATGATCTTATGACAGATATGACATCTAAGAGTAAACATGCCAAGTGCCAACAAGAGCAATAGAAATGCAGAAAGCATTGCGTGTTGCAGACGGAGTGCATTTACAGACAGTCCGATTTCATTCATGAACACGAAAGTAACATAACAAAACATTAAGAGCACCAGAAACTAAAAGAAAAACCACCCTAAATGGGGGAGATCAAAATCATTACACACGAAAAGACAATCAAACAAGTGCGATTAATTGCAAAATTATGCCAAAATTAAAGCGGTGATGTGATGCGGGTGTCAAATCGCTAGTCCCGCAACATATAAAACTTTCATGTAAAGGATATAAAACGCGTAACTATTAACAAAAGACAAGAAACAAGCAAACGATGTAAGAAATATAAAAAAAACCTACAGTACGTTACGATGAAAAGGTTAGAAGAAGAAGGCATACAGAAACGGTGAAGAGCTGTGATGTGATCTTTTCCATAATCCTTCGTCAATCTTCGCCACTATCCTCCTAGCTTTGAAGTTATTTGTGACAAATATAAAGCAATGGTAATTCCCCGGAAGGCTATGCGTTTCACCATCAAATAAGTGTGAATTTGTCGAGGGAGCAACGGCGCGTATGCGTGCACATAAAGTCAATTTTATAGGATATCTTACGCGTAAACAACGAAGCGTGCCCTTCCTTTTTCGATAATCTCAAAAGCAAAGCATTTCGACTATACTGCACTGTTCCCATGTAAAAAGGATGCATAAGAGCAACCATCCAAAAAAAGGAAAAGCTTTGGAAATGTGCACCCTTGAGGAAGACTGAATTACATGCGAAGATTAATAAAACATAGGCCACTGACTAGTTCTAAATTTTTATCGGAGCCCACGATGATTCTCCAAAATTGCACGAAAAACGTACTAAAAGCGTACACCACATTAACTTTAAGTTATACATTGCAGCTCGCTTTGCTGTAAGCGCGATCTTGCGCTCGTGCAATTGCATGATCGATGCGTATATGCTCCATAATCAAACTGCAAACTCTGCAGAGTATGATCAGTCCCTTACGATTACGCGTCACGTCATGATGAGCGACATCACCGAATCACTGCGTTGTTGCGTATATGCTTGGAAGGGCCGGGGGTTAATTAGTAGCTAAAGATATCTGCTGCGCCCCTGGGGTTATGCACGAATTTCATCATAATTTCGGCTACAATGGCTTACTAAATATGTACAATGAACATCAAACCTAGGCTATTGAACGAGTTAAATGAGTGTGACAGTGGTAACAAATAAAACATATGCTAAAAAATTGAATATTTTGTCAGCTGACAACACGGTAAAGCTTATTTTTGTTGTAGATCCCACAGTTAAGAAAAAACGACCCAACCAACGCTCAATTCTGAAGCAGCTATGACAGCAAAAGAGATTTTAGACTGGTCCTATCAAATGCACCCATCAATAAAAGAATTGAGGATGAATTAAAAGCCAGTGCTCCACTTCAAGTCAAATGCTTCAACCTAGTGGCGATTTCGAGGGGATAGAAGGCCGACTGATCAGCAGTCACACTAGTTATTTGGAAGAGGCCTTTACTACCAGTTTCCGAAAATGCAGAAATTTAAAATTCTTTCGCCCAAAAGTTAGATCGTAATCCTGAACTTTGAGCTAATATTTCTTATATCAAAATTCCAAGAAATTTTACGACGATCTAAGCAGGTCTGAAGCTTTCCCTTCCCGAGCTTAGAACATTTCCAGCTGAATCTTACACCATTAGAGACGGAGTCGCTCGCATTACGCTAACTAAAACTGTTTCTGCTGATGATTGCTCCATGGGGTCTTCCTAACCCACTACCACAAAAAGCTGCCCGAAGCCTTTTAAGGGCACAAAAATAGCTCATCATAATTCTGTTACAGTTCAATGTTACACAATACCGTCAAGACTGACTTGAACGGTATATCTGAATGATCAAAAAAATTATACCTGTGAGATTACATAAATTCTTAAAGCGGCGTTTAAACGACCGGAACGATGACTATTACAAAATAACCAACCGGACGCAAATATGTTTGGTTGTACTTTGAGACATTTATCCCTATTTCCCCTGAAAAATATTGGAAGAAGCGACCAGAATTACAAAAAGAACACCCCCAATGGTTGAAATAGCGATGATTAAAGCAAAATAGAGATGTAGGAGATCGTGGCAAAGAGTGGCGCTATTCCACAGAGACAATGCCCTTCACCGTTCCAATCCAGACATCCCATACTCGATGCTTTAAAAACGTCACCTTCGAGGGCAATGGATGACTATGATGTTGTTGATGATGGTGATGACGATGATGATGCAATAAAAATGATATGAAAATTAAAACGATAAGAAGAAGACGTGAAAGTGGTGATGGTGGTGGATAGTAAAGGTGATGGTGTGAATGAACGATGATTATGAGTGGACGATGATGATGTGTTGATGACAATGATGATGATGATGATGATGATGGTGATGATGATGATGATGACGATGATGATTATGAAGTGGGTGATGATGTGAGTAATGATTATGACGATGTGGTTGATGATGATGATGTGGAAGATGATGATGATGATAATAATGATAATAAAAATTATAGTAAAAAAATAATGAGAGTACTATTATTATGGTTTAGTGATGATGATGCATGATACAAAATGCATGACATATTGTTGATCAAAGTTCTCAAAAGAACTAAACGATTAGTAAATAGAGGATTTCATACACATTGCCAAGCTTGTGGGCATGCTTAGTACGGCGCGAAGCGATTCACGCCCCGATACGCCTGATTCATAGGATAAGCAGGAAGGGCAGCAGAGAGAGCTTGTCCAAGATATTGCTCACCAAGAGAAGTGGCAGCCGAAGTGGGTATACGCGCTGAAACACAGCCCAATGATCTTCATGCTCATGCAGTGGTGCACCCGATCGAAATACCATGCAAATCACTGCTTAGGTGACTGCGCAATGAAATAGATCACTCTCACCTTGAGCAGCAGCAAACTGCAAGCGAGCCTGTTCATTGAAGAGAGCAGCAGTCGTTGGATCAGCAGCAGCAAACGCCTGCTGAAGTGCTGCAGTCTGCTGAAGACTTGCACCTAACAGCAACTGTTGACCTTGCAATTGAGCAGTAGTCAGCGGATTCGTAGTCATCGCCAAAGGTATCGTTGACTGCGACAAACCAGTCAAGCCAATGCCTCCTCTTGCTAGCAAGGAGTGTGCTACCAATGGATTCCTCATGTATAATGCCCGCGTCACCTGCGCTTGAGCAAGAGCAACATTCTGCAGAGCAGACGCAGTCATTGCTTGATCCAACACACCTAAACACATTCGTATCATGCTGCTTATACATTCAACGCAATTATGCACATACGCGTTTGCTACTGTACCCTCCTCTTCAAAAAGCCAGAAAGTGTCAGGTGCAGACACACCACAAGTGACGACGGCCTCCGAAAATGTAAATATTTTTTGCCAGTGAAATGATTAACCTGTTACAGTTGTATTCGCTCAGTTGACACTAATTACAGCTATCATTTACTTCAAATCAGCTATCACTATGCACCACTACTGAGCACATTTACTTGGAGGGCGTCGTCAGTTGTGGTGTTTGGTCTGCACCTCACACTTTCCGGCTTTTTGAAGGGGAGGGTACAATGTCGGTAATCGTTTTCCTAATGACACATTGAAGCGCGCGCGTGGATTGCTGACTACCAATCTGGGTTTGGAAGGGTGCCGTATCAAACCAAAAACCCCATAAAATGTCAACGGCGATTTTCATGCTCATTTTATTCCAGGCCTAAGCGACGTTCTTTCTCGTACCCATGCCTGGAGTAAGCCCTGGGTGCGAGAGAAACCGTATTCCGCCGGAAACTTAGGATAGGACCAGACTACGCCATCGACATCGTGACATGTCACGACAGGGGCAACGTATTCATCAATCCGGAAATGCGTGAGCGGAGAGCAATCGATTTCAGTGAGAGAACATTTAAGCTATAAGTGCAACTACTTATTATTATCATGCCAACCCAGAAAGGCTCCACCATGCTTGAAAAAAGTGTGTTTTAGAGGCAAAGCGAAAAAGAAACAAAAACGATGTGCAGAAAAACAACCAAGTAAGCTACCTAGCATTAGTTTAAATTCATGAATCTTCTCAATTTGTGCAGCACAACATTGTCATGGATTGGACAGCTTACATCCAACGAGAAAGAAAATGATTTTAGAAGACTTGAAGATTCCTAGTTGAGGTACAAAATGAACTTTGCACATTAAACTCAACGCAAGCAGTGCAAAACTCTCCTAAAGTGGGCTAAAACGTATGCTACTTTACTTGGAAAACATGACGCTGCGCAAGCGGGACTGGACGACCAGTTTACGGACTACTTGACTTTTCCTGAACGGTCCTGCCGCGATGGCTAGAGCACAGACGATTAGAGAACGGGTAGATGCTCTGGGACTAAGCCTTGGAGAAGAGAGGAACCCGTGAGAGAGCTCAGAGGAGATCTAAAGGACTAAGTTCAAGTAGTCCGTCAACCCTGGACGACTCGTGGCCCTGGTAAAAATCAGTAGTAGACAAAAACCGTAAAATCATTACGTGGTCTATCGAAACGCTAACACACTCCAGCAGAAAGAAAACGTATGAATCCAACTGGTTTTTGCATCGCAGCCATCTTGAAAAGCTTAAAGAAGTCGATAACTTTCCTCCCAATTGTCAATTGCAAGGGAAGATTATGAGGCAAATTTTCCGCTTACTCTTACACTGAACAATGATGTAAGGATATCAAGAACATGTAAAAAAAAACTTGACATTTTTTCGCATTCTCTAATCATCTTCTCCGACTTTATCATAATCTAAATTAGCTTTTTTAAACACCGTTTCCTCCTCTGATTCTATTGCAGACAAACTCTATGTTGGGATTTCTCAGAGACTATCAGACTGGCGATACAAATTCAATTTATTTCATCTCATCACTGAATCGACTCTTCTTCGCCTTCGCATCTCTTTCAATGCGCAAAATCGTTCCCTCCTGTTGATGAATGCATTACCTCCAAATAATATCAAGACAGCGCCTACTGTATGGCTAAAATCCCCTGCAATAGCGCGACTGTAAGGCTGCAATTTGCGAAAGATCAGGTGGCCAATGTGCAGCGGGCAAGTTGTCGTAGGCGCCACCGCATGTCACTCATCCGACAACAGGCACTGCGCACATCGAGCCGCCGGAGGTCCACAAGGATCCCAAAGGGAGAGAGCCCAGACAGCGTGAGTGTTAAGACACTCGGCTTCCGGAGGCGTGGCGAAAGCGGCATTGGCGCCGATGGGACCTGTTCGGAATGGGTCGTGATCCAAGCAAACTCGCTTCGGACCTCGTTTGGCGGTTGGGTGGGAATATGTTGGATTAAAGATCTCGAATACTGTAGTATTTTCCCGTCCATTTTTCTTACTGTAGGCCATAAAAGGAATGGGATTAGACGTGCACAGTCCTAGTGATTTGACGCGAAAGTGCTAACAGAGTCATCGGCTAAGAAAGGAAGTGGGGGCGAAGGTGGCTATCCTAACTGATTGTATACAGCCTGCTGCGTCTTCAGATGCCAACTACAAACTTGTTTTCCATATCTGCTGAGTGATGCTTACTTTGCACGTAGTAGGTTTGCCTAAAGGTTAGAGACATAAACACAGGATCGAAGTTAGAAGAACGAAGCTGGCTGCACAGTAACCTATGCTTTTCTGTGAACCGTAACTGGGCAATAATCTTTCACCACTGCTTGACCATAATTCGATTTTTGACCCCTCAAACATTCGGACTTTTGCATTGTGGCACTTAAGCGCTACTTGGCGTAAAAACTGGACGTTTCTCGCAGAACTTCAACAATGCCCATGTTTAGGAGGTCAAGCACCACTACGGCACTTCTACAAAAAGTGAGATTTCGCCCACGACTCTGAAACATGGGGTTAACCATGTAGTCCCGCCACGGAAAAATTAACTTTATCAATGGAGCTGCGCACGAAGAGTGCATGGTATGTTGAGTACTAAAAGTACGGTTCCGAAAATTCCCATAAATTTGTTTCTAGCATCATTCAGCAGATATAGAAGACAGATTTCTAAAAACCGTCCAGGAGTGCACCTGACGATGTACGCCCCATTTTAAGAGCCAATTGTGCGAACCAGGCTACCTTTGTAAGCACTGAAGATTGAAACAAAAATGAGCCAGAAACCAAATTTGATGCCTGAAAGTGCCTACAGCATTAACAAAGTCGACCATACAGACGTCACGAAATATAAGAATAACGACGCAAGAACGGAATAACCGATATGCCATACCAGGTAATGCCTTCACTTTTTTCGTGTGTATGCGAGCAGTGGCACAATTCACTTCCACCTTTCTTCCTTCCACCATGGAACCATGCAACTCTTGTCTTGCTTTTTCGGCATCGGCTGATTTTTCCATAGTTACAAACCCAAATCCCTAGAAGTAATCAATCTTGATCAAAAGCAGCCGTTTTATGTCAAGTTCCAAAACACAAACTTTGCTTCCTCGCTCATTGAAAATGATTTCTACATCCATTACTGGACCAAACTTCTCGAACATAATCCTGAGGTCAGGGTCACGAAATCGGAACGGGATGTTCGAAACGTGAAGGCGTTTGGGTGCCACATCGATTCCACCTGAAAAATTATTATCGGTATTAATTTCAAACCTGTCACATAGTTTCGCGGCTATAAGAAATAATTGCCACGGCAGAACAGGTAAGTGGCTAAGGGGCATAGCTCCACCCCTGAGTCGCAAGTTGGATATCTGTCGAGGTAAAACTATGCTCTGCAAAAATTGCGCAAACGGTGACAATACCAATGCCAGGATGAGGTTGATTAAGATCTCAGTCACAAAAAGTCGCAAAGGAGGATAGAAGAAGAGAATGAGATGTAATTCCATACAGAGAAGTAGGACTACCCTCGTCTTCAAATAACCAGAAATTGTGCAATTGCAGAAATTGACATGGCATTGACGTGGCATCGAATCAAGAACATCTTTGAACACACGTGACGTCACCTTTTCATCGAGAATTTAGCCACGTGTGCCACGTGGATTTCTGGCTGCATGAAACGGAGGTAAGTTATTCAGGGTGTAGAAAACTTGAAAAGTTTCCTAGGAGTTTTTCACAAAATTCTGTGACGTTTCGGTAAATTGCCCTTGTTCGGGAGCAGTTGTATACACCACCGTTTCCTCCCGAAAGACCATTTCCTATGGAGGAAGCTAATAATATCAAGAAGATGGAAGATGGGAGTTAAACCTGGGAATGGAGAAAAACCGTGAGGTTTCAACTAAGAAGGGGGACGCGGAAATGTCTTAACCAACTTCTTCGACAAGTAATTCGCCCTAAGATCGATGTGTAACGACTGCGTGCAAAAGAGCAATCTCTGCATAAAAGGTCTTACAAGCTTGCAAGAAGCATGTCCCCTGTCTTAAACGCCTAAAGTACGGGAAAGTTTCGAAATGATTTGAACTGACCGTCCGCTTCACTGCTTGTGCTCGGGTCAGGCTGCGACATAGACGTGACCTGGGGCTGTGATGAAGGCATTTGTGGGCCTATGCCAGCTAGCTGTTGTTGTATTTGGAGTTGAAGATCGTACTCTGCCTGTTGCTCTTCCTAAAAAAATGCTCCCAATATTACGGCTAGTCAGAGAAGTTGCAAAATGTCGGAAGCTGAACTTCAAAATAATGAACTTGGAATCTCTACATATTGGCTTAATAATAAAGCATTACCTTGTGTTTATCAGCGGCCTCTAAGGAATTATTCATCATCGCAGATCCACTCGGCATCACCATACCATGTGAAGATTGCAAGTTTGCTTAAATTAGGTTGGCTTTTATAACTTTATGGAACATTCATTTGAACTCTTAATGGCAACAAATCGGTAGTACATGATTTTATATAATTTTGAATTAAAATTTTGCTGACATCGCATGTTTTGCCATTTTTAGCCGCGTGAGACAAGAGCGATTTTGTGAGTGCGCTGGCCTCCCCTTGTATCGATTTTTTTCTGGTATTTAATAAAAAAAACATGGATGTCACAGTGCAATTTCAGCAATAATGAAAGGTACAGGTTACTTAAAGATATACCTGTAGCAATTTGTCAAAAAATATCGCACAAGACAATGAAAAAGCAAAAACTATCAACTTCGCTGCAAATGAGGTGAAAAGTTTTTTCACCTTGGTTTTTCCATTGAAGGCACATATCTTGCCATCCGTAGAGTTTTGCATTTACTTCTGCTATAATTTTGCATATGAATATTTATGACAATGAAACGAAAATCAAAAAATGATTGAAATGAAATTTCCATGAAGATTAAAAAATCCTTGCTAAATCTAAGTATATTTGACCATGCCGGCGACCATAGGGCTTATAACTATTTCAATGTATTATCTACAGCATAAATACAAAAAAATGGGAGGAAGGAGCGCATGCGTAAAAAAATAGGTGACAAAGTTCTGACATGCTTGCGCGTCCAGCTGTCGTCGTTTACACATTGGCGACAATGCGATTTTTAGTGTGTCTGCTGCGTGAAACCGCGTCTTATTTAACATTTCCAAAAAAAATGTCAATATAATGGGAACCGCCTGCAAAATGTTGGATCAAGCAAAAACTGCTGAGACGACCGACAACCAACGGCTGCAATTGCAACCCTCTTGAAAGGACTAAGGCACACAATACCACGCTCTATAGCAATATCGACTGCACGGTGATGATATCTTTGCCCAAGCACTACTACTTTGTGTCCCGTTGACAACTACGCAACGGCTACACTTTCCCATAGTGCCATAAGGGCTTTTCCGAAGCGGAAGCAGATGCAGTCTGAGCGGTGATGCTGAACGCATCCCTACATGGTGAGAGGCAGAACACGTTGTGCACCCAGGAACATTGTGGAATATGATCCTTTGTGACATTTTGTCACCTTTTGTACTCCATGCATTCACCAATCAACGTTAGGCCTATGTCAGACTTTGCGAATCGAGCGATTCGCTTCTAGCAATTCACTGGCGTCCGCCGTCGCGTTGCGGTACCAATCAATCGAGCGATTAGCTGGCCGCGAGGCGTCTGTGGACCCTAGCGAATCGCTCGATTCGCAGAGTGGGACATAGGCGATAGTGCGACACTATATTCTTACGGCTATGTGTGCCTTTTCAGGAAAGCGTTCGGTCCTGACATTGTAGATGAAGACATCAAACAGTGCAATTGGAGGAGCTCCTGGGCCAAATGTTAAACGACGAATGGATTGGGTTGTCCATTTCCCCAACTTAATTCCAAAAAGCAATTGTTGGGGTCGGACATTGCAGCATGCCCGACCAATTACTATCCAAGGCGATATCGCGAGACACAGGGGTATCGCGGCTGCAACGCGTTTAAAATAGCGCCAGACACCGCTTTTATGTTGTAAACAAGACTGAGCCTCAAACGGAGAGGGGAGATTCTACTCGCAATCCTAAAGGACACCCCGCAATAGCGCCTATCCAGCAGTTGTCAACCACGCTGGCGGATAGGTGGAATGCCCTGCTAAAACTTTACCAACTTTGGGCTCAGCATGGGAGCACATGGCAGATCATACACGGCTGTCCCAAGCGTATACATACCCTACGGAGCATTAAGATAGCATTTGTCATTTCTTTTCATCCTAATGTATTACTAGTAGATTCTGTACTAGACTGTAGCGGTTGCACTATGTATGATCCAAATTTTATAGAACTGCGTTAGTTGGCACTGATATTTCATGCAAAGTTTACTTTCTTCCTCTAATTTGGCACACCTATACTCTATTTCGGAGGACGAGAAGAAAATCGATTGCACACCACACATCATAAGAGACGACGACCATGCTAATTCTGCGCAGTACTGAAATCTATCATTGGACTAATCCAAATTGAATGACCGGTGAATAAGCGAACCACGAACTATTAGGAATGTTTTGACACGGAACCGATTATTTCAACCAGATCGACCAAGAACCTGCGATTAATCCGAACTTATCCTAGATGCAGTGAGTAGGACAATTTGGGTTCCATTGAAAAATGGACATGACACAGTCGTTGATGCGATCATCCTATGCTTTTCAGAAAAGGAGCGTACTGCAGCGAAATAGTGAGGAACAAAATTAGTAAACACCATGGGATGCCGCGTGTCGCAAGGAGAACGGGTAACTAATTTTGTAACTGCTGAGATGTGATTATTTCGCTGGAGCGCTCTTTCGCCTCAAAAAGGCGTCACATCGTTTGTTCTCTACTGGTTTTTGTCTCTGCTACGTCTACCAGCGCACTATGTAGCCCTTGTATTCAGCGAATAGGTAGGTCCGCAATGCAGACTTAGCATCACAGGCGTGATGCAAAATAATGAAATGCATAAAAAAACATATGTGGCATAGATATTCTCGTCCCCGTCGTAACCTGTACCGCTGATTTTGCAGTGGACGTGGCGACGGTTGCGAAAAATTAATGTCACGTGCGATTTCTGAAGCTATTGATTATACATATTTGGCCAGATGATAGGTGTAAAATCAGCATTGCGACGCACCTGGCTGCCAGATAATCTTCTCATGCATGGGAAAAATAAGCGCATGGGAAAGAGCCACTTCAAATGTTAATAACTCTCACGCAATCGTTCCACAGAGATAGAAACCTAAGCTCTTCGAAGAAAAACTATGTTTTTTTTCTTCATCGGCATTTCCAATGTTTTCTCACCTACGCGGCCTTGTTCCAATGAATACTCCCTTCATATAGATTCTGGAACTGATGTTCAATAAAATAATACTAGCCCCTGCTTTGCAGAGGCCATCTTCAAAGCCTTCGGTTATAATGAGTACGACGTCACATCTCTACGACTTCCAGACAACACCTAACCAGTGGGCGTGGCCGCGGTGATCCCCGCCCGAGTTCGTTGGGCGAGCGGTTGTTTCGATGGGGCGCAGGAATGGTAATGGGGCGCATTCGTCTGGATCGATACAGTTGCGAGAGTCCCATCGAAACAACCGCTCGCCCAACGAACTCGGGCCGCGATCACCGCGGCCACGCCCACTGTGGTTAGGTGTTGTCTGGGAGCCCATCCCTACTAGCCTCTTCTGGTAGTGAGTATCAATTTATGTAACTCTAGGGCACTTCCATAGCCGGTAGTCCGATCGTAACGATTGCTCAGCATTAGATGCATGTCGGTCGTCGGAAGTATCGGACGGTCGGATGATCCATACCATAAGAGGTTTAAGCAAGAAAGTTCCACGTGTCTCATGTACTACCAACGTCGTAAGTTTGGAAAACATCAGCTCCAAAATATGAGTGAAGAAGAGCTAACGAACCGGAACCACAGATGGAAGCCCTCTCACAACAAACCAATGAAAAGAAACAAAATTGAAGCTTATTGTAGAATGTAGCTCCAGACATATATAATTACAAATACTATGTGATGGGGCAACGAATTCCTCAATAAACGTTCCTCTACGGACTAGACTGAATTATTCACCACATGTAGAATCTGTAACCATGGACTAAGAACTGCTATGGAGGATCCTAAGCTGCATAAGCATCATGATACGACCACTTTGGAGTAACTTAGCAGTCATTCCAACAAATGAGGTGCCAATGACGGAAAGAGCCGGAAGAAGAACGGAAAATCGCACACACGAAACCATACGTGGGTCCACGGACAACTTGAACTCAGTCCTTTAAACCGCCGCGATTTGATGCTCTCGCCTGCGCTCTCTCGCTTTGACAGCGGCTAATGATTACTGTGATCTGATACAATCGAACCCCACCAAGAAGTTATGGGTTTATCCAATCCGGAGTCCGTCCTTCCTCCAAGGCTTAGACCTAGGGTTCTCACCTCCCTGCTTGGGATTTGGAGCCGAGCCAGGCGCCGTTCTCTGAACGTCTGCGCTATGGCTTTTCGCGGCAAAAAACACAGGGGAAAATTCAAGTAGTCACGTAATCCCATCCGCGATGGATCCCCTCTTTCTTCACGATATTATGCCAGGCCGCGGCGAGCGCGAACGAGTCCATAGTGCCCGCGAACTGTGGTGGTGGAGCGTTTTCAAATTTATTCGCACAGTGGGTGTGGTTCCATAGGACAGAAGGCGAGTTTTTCACTTTTCGCACTCGATTCATTTTTCGCTGCGGGAACCTCAGGTCCACCGCTGATCATGAATGGGCCTGGAGTTCCTACGGTGAAAAATGTTTCGCGTTGCGAAACGCGAAAAAGTCGCTTCCTGTCCTAGTGAACCACACTCCGCGCAGTTCGCGGGCACTATCGACTCGACCGCACTCGCCGCGGCCGCGCTCCAGATCGCGAAGAAGTGGAGGAGCCTTCCGCGGTCCGATGCGCCCTATCGCGCTTCAACAAGATCAACCATATCAATCTACGGAATTAGGGTTCCGGACCACCTGTCCGGGGAGGACGATGCGGAGCATAGGCCAACCAGGAGTTCCAATTAGAGCCCTACGACCAAACGGAAATATTGCGAAGGGCCTCGCCAAACGACATAACTCGCTATCCGTCGTAAGGAAGTATTAAATACCATTGGGAGCTTGTGGTGGAGGTTCAAGCCTGATGCCAAACCGTCGCAGCAGACGCTTGAGGGGGAAACGCAAAAGAGCTACCGGAGCAGAAGAATGACAAGGAAGAAACAATTAGTTTTGGTCGGGAAATGGAACATTTAAGAGAAATACACGCGTCATGAAACAACCCAATATTGTAATTGTAGCAATCTCCACGGATCGTGGCCAGCATTTCCACCATAAGAGGACTCCTAGTCTAGGCGATTTTCGCAGACCTTAACTGTACTTGGCG